CAAACCAAACTTAAGATGAACACAGACATCAAAGTCTTCATCTTCATTTCTTAGTACACAGAGGTTAACATTAATCATTCTTAACAGCGTTCGAACAAATGCTTAAAGTTTAAGAAAATTTAGTTTATACCATGAATATGAATTCGAACAACGAAAGTAACAAAACAAGCAGCAGTGACCAAACAACATATCTACATTTTATTAAAACTAACGTGAGTTTACAGTTTCCATTTGATATGTTAAGAAGGAATTATTAATATTTTTGAGAGTTTGACAACGTTATTACATTTTATGCATTTCACTTGATTGTTTCCATAGAATATTAAATTATATTTCATTGTCAGAAGAAACTAGAAGTAGTGAAATTATTATGCATCTTAAGTTAGAAGTGTAGACATCAGGTGTAGAAAGTAAAACAAAAACATGCATATAAAAAACCCACAATAAATTGTAAGTGCTATATCAACACACAATAAACAATGCTTAGTTTACTGGGAAACCAAAAAAAGAGCTTAAGTAACAAGTTCTAGGTATATTAATGATAACACTTAAAGTTCAAAACCCAATACATATATAACCATGTAAAAACTTACAAATGTACACTCATGCAAGAATTTGCAAATGAATTAATCACTCTCACGCAGTGTGAAAATTCTACGATGAAACTAGAATTTTCATAATTGCTCTCGAACAATATTTTTCACACGTTACTTAACAAGAGAATTTGAAATAGCATAATAATACATTATGTTTCACAATGGAAATATACCCTTATGTTATAAGCTAGATATGTACTTCAAGATCCTGAATTGGAAATACTGGAATAAAAAAATACCAACTACTTTCTTGAAAGAGACCAGAAATATATGCTTTCATTTGCTTCGGAAGAATGCCAAATATTTAAAGTTTTTATTAGACATTGATCTTTACGATTCTTAACAGAATTACATTAGAAGTAACACAGTAAAGTTTAGATATAACATAACATAATATTTTGGGACAACATGGGACCTGTTAGTCCATCTCGGCTGTTTCATTCTCAAAACTAAATTAAAATGATTAAAAAAAATTAAACCTAGCTCTTTTCATTCATATACTTATCAAGCTTTTTCTTAAACTCACTTAAATTTACTGCCCCTGCAACATCTCAAGGCAACCCATACCAAAGGCCAACCACCCTGTTAAAAAAATAAAACTGTCTTAGTTGAAGATGACTTCTACCTTGCCAAAATTTATATTTGTGTCCCCTAGTCCTACTATTCTCATTATTAATTATAAAAAAGATGATACATCAACACTATCAATTCCCTTTACAATATTAAACTCCTTAATCAGATCCCCCTAACTCTTCTTTTTTCAAGAGAAAAAAATTTGAGATATTTCAGCCTCTCGTCGTATGACAACCCCTCCATTCCAGTCACCATTCTAGTAACCCTTCTCTGAACCCTTTCCAACAATTCAATGTCCTTCCTAAGGTAAGTAGCCCAAGACTGAACACAATATCCCAAATGTGGCCTAACCAGTGACCTGTACAATGAAAGTATAACCTCTTTAGACTAGTATTCAACATTTCTATAGATACAACCTAAAATCCTATTTGCCCTACCACTAACAACAGCATACTGCTTGAATGGCTTTAGAGACTGGTCGATTATTACACCAAGATCCCTTTCCTTCATAACATTATTCCCATACAAATTATACTTATAATTCAAAATATGATAGCCTATATGCATTATCTTGCGTTTATTATAATTAAACCCATTGACAGTTATTTGCCCAACTCACTAAATGATCTAAATCGTTAGAAGTCTTTCGGTTCTGCAAACGACAAGATGGCGATCAGATAAAAATGAAGTACCTTAGATAATGCGGTGCTTATTGTAAGTTAGAGTAGCTAACCTATGAAAATAATTTTTGAAGTTATGATAGCATTGTTTCAAAACCCATACTTTTAATGGAGTCATAAAGAAACATACGCTTTATGGAAAATCATTACATAAAGATGCCTGAATAAAAAAATATTTATGCATGAACAATTAGCTTTTAAAAACAACTTTCAGTTATAAAATTAACATAAGTTTATCAGTGAAGAGATAAATTTTTGTTTGTGTCATACATTTTTAGTTCCGATAGACAATTTCTGAGTTTTTAAAGCATTTACTGTTTAGTAGGTCAAGAATTCATTAAATTTTGGAGAGTAAATTATTTCTTGGAAAGAAAGTAATCCTGAAAAATAGAACGATTATAAGTCAGATTAAAATACGAAATATGTTAAAGTACTTGTGTGAAAATTTATGCATAAATTAGAAAGTAAATACTATCAAAGTTGCAGAGATATGCCTAATAAAAACAAAAAAAAACAACAAAACAACAAAGAATATAATTGAAATTAAAGTTACTGTAAAGTAATGTTTTCTATACATAAATAGTTCGTACGAGATTTGTCGTTAGGAATTTTACAGCTTTTACATGCTTGCATTGAAAATACTAGGCTATAAAATTAAATTAGAAATCATTATTCGGTCCCTTTTTAATCATTATGTTAACAACGTTTCTGTCATCTTGAATATTACTATAGATTTATATACCAAGCACCGTAAGATGAAATATGTAATATATATATAGATTATATACTTAGAGGTATACTTATTGTCATGGGGTATTCATGAAAATCATCCCAAAATTCTAGGCTAGATCTTTCGATCACAGATACATAATATTAAATAAAATGTCCAGATGTTAGACAATTTGTTCCTCTTTTTCTCGGGCGAATTCCTTGAAATGCATTGTAGTTTCTAATTATTGTTCTGTTGTCCTCGCTTCACTAACTGACATTGTTGTAACTTCTCACTAATGATTCAAGGTGTAAATTTTCTAAATGTATTTTTTCGAACTGATATTGTTGTAGCTTCTCACTAATGATTCAAGCTGTAAACTTCCCAATTGTATTTTTTCTTAAACAGACTCTTGAGGTTTCACCAACAGTTCTAGACGAGAATTACATTAATAAATAAGCCTCGAAATACGAAAATAACGGAATAGTTAAATTATTTCAGTTATTGGTGGTTTATTTACCTAGAAATTCTAAAGAAATACAAGAAACAAAATTTTTAGTATCATTTGTCATTAATTCAAGTATTGAAAGTAATAGTGATAAATTACAGGAAAAATATTCCAGATTTTATTACATCATATCAGAGATAAAGTCTTTGGAAAACTAATGTTTTTAAGCTATTTTATTTACTAATTAATTGCGAGAAGACTTTACTTGTCCAAGAAAAGTTCTTTGATCTACGTGAAAATCCTTGCAATATTTCACTTCTTTTTACATAAATGAAAGACCAAATTGTGGATATTATTAAATACGAGTAAGAATTTGATCATGAATAGATCTTTTTTTTTTTACAGTTTAAACAGTAAATAGCATATAAAACGTTTCGTGAAAACATCTGCGACGGATTCTGAAAAAGTAGTTGAAGACTGACATAACGAAATAATCTGGTCGAAAAATCTGGATATTTTGTAAGTTTCGATTCTCGTTGTGTGTTTGCATTAATAACAAAAAATAGCTTTTCTCCTTCATGATTCCATGAACGTAGGTCACAAAACCACAGTTGGCCAAGAAAAAAAAAGTAATGTTTTATATTTACATATTTTTCTACACGTTTGGAAGTAATTATCAGTAATAACTGCAAAATCCAGAACCTGAAATTACGTCTTTATACTTAAATAAAACAGTAACAGTCTAATTTATACGCGCTTGTCATAATAGATCAAGAGTTTGTTAGTTAATATCTACAAATCATAAAGGCGCTGCGATAGTTTAATTATCAACCTCAACTCCATCAAAGCAGTTTTATTCATTTTTGTGTCTTAAAAACAATCTTTCATAATCAGTTCAATCTTAATACCTTCTGTTTTCTTTAAGAGTTACCAGAATAAGAACATCTAGTACTCATCATTATATAGAGGGCTGCACCTAAAACTGGACATTTGCAACCCAGAATTAATAGTTTTAAAATTATTGATTATGTACACTTTTATGTTTCACCTCATGTTTATCGGAAACATCAACAAACGTTTCAAAACATCTTTCTTTCTATTCGATGCTACAGTAAAAAACAAAGTCCTACTTAAACTTTCAGTCAAGAATATTTTGATAAAATACATTGTTTTTATTATTAAAAAAATTTATACTTAATAATATTCTTAATTATAGATAATCTTCTGAAAAAACAGCAACAAAAAAGTCAATTTCATTGCTCTCCTTTTGCCATACCGCAATAAGTATAATTTGTAAGACAGCTTGACCCAGTTTCGACTTTTTACTTAATTTTCACATTAGCAATACAATAACCAATTAATTCTCATTATCATAATTTTTCATTCGTATAGTTATTCTAGAAATTGATTTTTCAGAATCAATCTTCGGAAAAATAAATATTCTTAACTGTTTTCAATCTAGAGCGAATAAAACAAATTATCAGTTGGTGATTTTCGTATTTTGTTGGTTTGAAAGTTTTACATTTAGATCATAACTAAGCTTAGAACCTTTAATACGAGCACTTATTACCATGGTAAGCTATATTACCAAGAACACATTGTATTTTAACTTTAAAAAATCCATACATTGAAACTGAAGCAGTTAAAAGCTACAGACTTTGTTGTTTGGCATAATTATTTAATAACAAACACAACATTTTTTAATAACGACAATACAATAGATTTTAACGTAACTATAACTATAAACGTAGAAGTGTATTTCCATTGTAAAATATAACAATTAGTAAATTAATAAAATTTAGAAAATTTTGTTATATAAGTGTATTTTACAGTACAATTGTTTACTATTTTTGTTTTGATAACAAAAAAATAATGTCATGTTTTCTCTACTTTACTGAATTTTAATTTCGCATAAGTAATGAAAAGTAGTTGTGCAAGGACAATCATCCCATTGAAAGTTGTGTAGACTCCACATATAAGTGCATAATCCATTTCCAGTCGGTTCCAACGGTGCCCAGTTATTAAATCCAGTTGGTTCGTACTGCCATTGGCCATTATTAAATAGAACGCCAATCCAAGTATCTTCTAAGATAAGACTCTTCAAGAATTGGTGAGTAGCGAGATCTGGAATTTTAGCCAAACGTGCCCCTTCTGCATTACATGAAGCCTCAGCATCTGGTTCTGTCTTTCCTATGCTGTAATACTTGAAATAAGACGTGCTGTGAAACTGATAGCCAACCGGAGCTGCAAAATGCAATGAAACCAAAAATAACCAGAAGTGCAACTATTAATTAATTCAGTAATAATGCCTTTAAACTGGAGTTTCATATTATATATCGCAATGATCATTCAGCTATATTTTAGGAATTATAAAACATGGATTATAAAACAGATTGATAAAATACTACTTAAGTTTACAAATAGCAAATTTTATTAGTTTACAAAACTGTACATATACTTAACTAGATATTGTACAGGTAGCATCCTGGTATTTATGGTTACATTATATATGAATCTTTCGTGCTTTTGCTGCTGTAAATGCATCAATTAAACTATCAAAATTTAAGGTATTAAGTACGCTTTTTTTCAATACTTAATATTGCCAAGCTACTAAGTCATTCTTGAGTCAATGAGGTTCTCAAGTATGTAAGAATTAATTTCAGCTTGCTGAAGGACCTTTCACAACTAGCAATACAAACCCCAATTGTTAACAAAATCTGCAATGCAATTCTTAAATTTGGGAGAACATCTTCACCATATGAAATTATAAATGTTAGCAAATCAGTTGCAACCATTGGTTCAGGAAAATCGGTCTGTGTTCTTTTACTTATCAACATTCTACAGTCTTTAATTTCTCTGTACAATTCTGGTCCATCAATATCACCTTCATAGCTCTTTGCTAAGTCAGAACATATTTCTTGCAATTTTCCGTCTTCGAAATCTCCAGAAACAATATTTTGCACATCTAGTAGAAATCCAAACCGTGGATCTCAATCTAGTAAGCGAGAAAATCTTCCTGTTATTTCTGTAATCAAGCGATCAAAAACATCCTTCATGATGCGATAAATTTCCTGTTCAGCAGTTAATCCAGCATTAGCTGCATTTTCACCTGGCATTCGTTTACGACGTATTTTTCTTCTTTCAATGATCAATCCCCATGTTTCACATTGATTCTTGCCCACTTTAAGTGCTTCTTGACAGGACTTTTCACGTGATTCTATCAATTTCTCTTTCAAATAATCAAGATCAGCAGCTGCTTCTCTAAAATTCATTTTTGGGTCCTGAAGACGTTTCTGCACTCGATTGATAGATGGTAAAAGATTTCCCCGAAAATGCAAAAGTACAAGAAAATCAAATATAAGCATGTGTTGCAGAATATTATGAGCACCACATTTTGTTTCAGTCGTGTTGCTATTCTCACTTAATTGCTTTAACAGTCCTAGCAATTCATCCAGTTTTTAATGTACAACTTTTACTACCTTTTCGCTTGCACTCCACCGTGTTTCTGATTCACGCTTGACAAAGATCTTAAGCTCCTGCTGCAGTTGGTCCCATCGAGTTGTTGAATGAGCAAAGAAATTATAAATGGCTTCAATTATACCAAAAAAGTTAATAACTGTTGTTTCCTGAATTTCAGTATGAAGACATGCTAAGTTCCCAAAAAAGGTAATAACTGTTGTTTCCTGACTTGCAGCATGAAGACATGCTAAGTTCAAACTATGGTTGTCACAGTTTATAAACACTGCTTTTGGATTTTTGTCAGAATTCTTTGTTGAACGCCTGGCAGATGACATGACAGCAGCACTATCATAACAATCACTCAATAAAATTCCACCCGCTTCTAATTTTGTGCTTATTGTTTTCTCAATATTGGCAGCGTCTTTTTCTTTTATCTGTATGAAGTCAATAAATGACTCTTTGACTTCTATTCTACTTTTCTTGTCTTAAAGTCAATGTCAACAAACCGAATCACTTGGGCCAATTGCTCACAATGGACTAAATCAGGGGTAGAATCAAACAGAATACCATAGTATTTGTTTCTACAAATTGCTGACAAACAATAATTCCTCACATGTGAAGTCATGAGATTTATAAACTTATTTTGAATATCAGGAGAAAGATAAGATGTTGACGTTTGCTTGTTTTTAACACGCTCTAAATGCTATCTCATAACTGGGTTTTTGTTTGAGGTTATACAGTACGGACTGAAAATATTGGTCCTAATAAATAGGAAATGAAAGATAATTCTGATCGTGTTGTGGATGATAAGTCCCACAAAATATCAGCTGAGAAGACTTTGTCGAAATTAAATGAATATCTCCCACGTGAATATAAACTTCCATAAATTTCGGAGCTTAAAAGCTAAGCGATTCAACTGTTATGGCGTGAACATCTTTTTCATGCTGACGAAGCACGATTATAATTAATTTACTTTTCATAAGATATTAGCATTAGACCTATTGTATTTTATATCCAGTCCCATAGATGTTTTCAAGCATCAGAAGAGTGTACAGTAATAGTACATTCGGCAATGGTTACGGAGAACGTAGTGTAATTGGAACACTATTGTTGTACACTCTTTTAATTCTTGAAAACCTCTAAAAGTTGTTGTTGTTTATTATTAAGCACAAAGCTACGCAAAGGGATATCTGTACTATGTTCACCACTGGTATCGAAACCCGGGTTCTAGTATTATAAGTCCGCGGATATACCGCTGTGCCACTAGAGGCAACCCCTAAAAGACTAGATATTGAACGTAATTTTAGAAAAGTATAATAGGCATGGTACTAACGTCTAATGACAAGTAAATTAATTATAAACATGATTCGCCAGCTTGAAAAAGCATTCATATCATAATAGTTGTTCTTGTAACAAATATCTTACATAAATAGTGTTCCGACCACTACTGTGTTTGTTGTGTTCCAGCCGACCAGATGAACTCTGGATTTAGCGAAACGCGTCGTCGGCAATGAATACGGCCAACATAGTGTGGTTGGAAGAATATTATTACTGTAAACTCTTCTAATTCTTGAAAATCCCTAAATGACTAGAAAGAGAATGCAGTGGTAAAAACATAATAGATAATACTAATGACAAGTATATTAAGTGATGAACTGTTTCCAAAACAAAATGAAGTAGTGTCAAATATGTTTGATCAATTTTTAGGAGAACATTGCACGGTAAGGCAAAAACATTATGAACAGCAAAGGGTGAGATGGATAAGTTTGGTTGTTTTGTTTTTTCCGTAAGATAACACATAATCAATTGGGGCCAGTAATATGGCTACAAAATTGAAAGTTTTTCACTTATAGTACCATATTGCAAAAACGTAGATTACAATAGTAAGGGTGATCTACCTGACCATTTCATAGAGCTCTCGGAAAGCTTTGGCATTTCAAAGGCAGTCACTTGGCTGAAAACACATACCTACCCAACACTAACGAACCGTTCCCAACAGATCAGCAAATTAGATCAGATGTCTCTTTGCATCATAGCTTACATAAAACGAATGCACTGACCAGCAAATTAAATCACATGTCTCTTTGCATCATAGCTTACATAAAACGAAATGCACTTACCAGCAAATTAAATCACA